GGCGTATTACTGCCCTCCACAGGTCAAAGTTTGAACTAAATTCTTATATACAGTCCTGTGTTATGCAAGAACTGAAGAACTGCCTCAGAGATCAGTTTATGCTTATCACTGTGTCCAAACAAAGTAGTAACAGAAAACACTCCAACGCCAAGTTCTGCCAATTCATCAAAAAGTGCTTTTCTTTGTATATTATACTTTCTACATTCCAAGAAAACATGCCCTACGGTTTCCATATTCCCACATTCACATAATCCACAAATATGCTTTCCTACAATATACAAAAAGTAATTTAACCCACAGTGCCCCAACCTCAATCTACACCGTTTAACTGAGTCCCTACGGGATGGACAAGTACAAAAACATATTTTCCTAACTTTCTTCAGACTAGTTCAGTGAGATGTTCTTTTTATGGGGAGACACCAACTTCAGCGCTCCACTTGGCTCAGAGCCGTAAAGTGAGAGAGAGAGAGTTGCGACAACGGAAGTTCGGAACGCTCGATCGTCACGTGATTCACGTAGACCTCAAATAGTTCCAGGAAGTTCATAGCGGGCAGTTGGAATACATTCCCCTTGTCCAAATACCCACACTTGCGGTCTTGGCCACTTGAGAGCGCGTGCGCAAGACTGTCCCAGGTCTTAAAAACGCCAGAGCGCAGTGCCCTTAACGCACACTAAACACACACTATCTCGAATACCGCTCCGGAGCGCTATTCGAGGCTTAGTGTATCCCATCATGCATCATGTTCTGGAAATAAATCGTGAGACTTTTTGCGGAGATCTCGCGAAAGGTCACGGAAACCTTTCCAGTGTAAGCTAAATACCAATATAATAATTAGATATTACAAATAATTTGGTAGAAAAACAGTGTTTTTACTTTTATTGCTGCAAAGATGAGTTGTGGTGATATTTATTTTGTACAACATTTTTTTATCATTTAGAAGCACCACAAATTAAAATTATGTCATGTTATAGGGACTACTGAACAGACATTTAGAAGTTGATTTTAAAATGCAAAGTATTTCAAATTAAAATTAAAATAAAGCTGTGTAAACACTTGGGCCAAACATATGGGCCAAAAATCTAGAGCCCGACCGATATGGGTTTTTCGGGGGCCAATACCGATATTAGGGAGTGAAAAAGACCGATATCAATATTCGGCTGATATTCTTTATGTGTAGGCTATATACAGTACAGTATAGTCAAAAGTTTGGACACACTTCCCATTTGTGTGTCCAAACTTTTGACTGGTACTGTATATAGAATACAGTATATACATAAACAGAATATATATACATAAACACATTTTTTGCAATGATAACTCAAATGTGGTGATCAAACACTTGTGTGTCACTTTGTGACAAAGAGGCCTATGTAATGGAAGCAGGGTATTTAACAATTTAACAATAAACTGTATTATTCAAAATGAGTCTGACATCAGTGCACTTAACAGTAAACTTCACTTATTATAAATAACTTAAAAAACACAAATAGAACAAAATATATATAACTTGAATTAAGAAAATAAACAAGGTAACTGTGTAAGGCAAGCAAGCTACTGCCAAATCAACAGGGGCAGGTTTATGCAGGAAGCACAGCTTTTCCAAATGTAAACATCTAAAATGAATAAATAATAATAATGAATAATATTTTTTTTCACAATTCTTTGTTATGTATTTTCTGGTTATCAAATGAACATGCAGAACATGAGGATTTGTATTTAAAATAGTTTTTTGCAGTTTAATATTCACAGACACTAGTCTATATCGCGATTTGATTTATGTGTACTGACCTGTTTTTTATATATTCATCAAAAATAAGAAAAATTCCATGAAATACAGTAAATTCCGTTTTTATGACTGGATTCTGCGATTCCATCTGCATTTTCCACATCACGGAAATCAATGGGCCCTACTAATGTAGCAAACGAACAGTAAACTCCGTTTTTATGACTGGATTCTGCGATTCCATCTGCATTTTCCACATCACGGAAATCAATGGGCCCTACTAATGTAGCAAACGAATATGATAAGCTCATTGTGAGAGTAAAAGACAAGGACATTGTTTATTTACTTTAGAGCATTGAGTCTCTCCAACTAGGTGACAACGTAGCATTAAATCACCATTCAACAGCCTCAAGCCACCACCGCCCTGCCGTCTATTGGACTGCAGAAGGATACTAACTTTTCAATCTGCTACGTTACTGACTGTACTGACAAACAATGCTGACACACCATGTCTACCAAGTCTACCCAGTTAGGAAATGTGATGTGACCGATGTGATCAGCATGAGTTCTGGGCCGTGGCGTGGCCGATATAAACACAAGAATTGATCAGCTCCGGTGGCATTGAAGAACCAACGATAAACGAGAAGCGTGCTGTGATGCACAGATCAGCTCTAACGTCACTGAATCTGCTGTTAAAAATGAACCATCCATTCATCATATCATCATGCAAAACTAAGAATTAGAATCATTGTAATGTGACGATCAAATATGGGTGTGGTGGGTGGCGGGCGGATAATTTATTTAAAGTAGCGGACTCGGGTGACGTTTGAGCTCATCCGTGCATCTCAACACTACACTGACCTGAGCCACCAGTAGCAAACAATGGAGCAATGGTCTGCTGGACAAACTAAGTAATTACACCAATTAGAAGCATTTAATCTGCGTTATATGTTCTGTAAAAAAAAAAAATCATATTCGCCAATACCGATATATCTGTGACAGGCTCATATCGGCTGATAATATCGCCAAAACGATATATCGGTCGGGCTCTACAAAAATCTACTGAGAGGTTTGGAAATTTGAGTCTGGAAAAGTATGGAATTTTGAAATGGAAAATGTGTAGGAACCCTGTCCTCTATATAAATATAATTATGTGTGTGTGTGTGTGTGGGTAACTTGTATGTTAGTCAAGTGCAATCACATCTTAATGTTCGTTGTCTTTTTACTAATCTCATGGTAAATGTTAAGTTGGTTGTCTTAAATTCATTCCAAATAAGTGAAGATATTTTAAGATTAAGTGAAAATTAATTTTGTTTAATTTTTTGATTCTTGTGCACCCCTCAATTATTAATATATAAAAATATA